CTGTGGGCGGAGTGGGAGGAGAGGCACACGGTACCTGCAGCAGAACAAGATGCTGAGTTACACAGGACTTCTCAGGAGAGACTGAGCCAGCAAGGAGAGAGTGGAATGAGAGATCTAAAATGTCCAAGCAAGAAAACCACCACCAACCTATAATTCTATACCAACAAAACTATCCTTCAAAAGTGAAAGGGAAACAAAGGCTTGGTTTGATCCACAAGAAACACTCAAGGAAGTTCTCAGGCAGAAGGAACATGACACAGGTCAGAAACTTGGATTCACATAATGAAAAGCATATCCCCTGACCAGGGATGGAGCCCATGCCCTCTGCAGTGGAAGCACAGAGCCCTACCCAGTGGGCTACCAGGGAAGTCCCCAGATCTGTTCTTTTGCTTATTCTTGGTTCATCTAAAAAAAAGTATTTATAACATAATAATAGGTAATGCACTGGGCTGTGGAACACATGGAAGGCGACATGAGTGACACAGTATCGCTAGGGTCTGGGAGCTGCTGCCGTGAGGCATCTGCACAAGTAAGGTGGCCAGGCTGTTTGAGGATGGGCTCAGATTAGTGAAAAATGTATACTGCAAACTCTAGGGAAACCACTGGGAAAAGGTTGTTTAAAGTTTAAAAAAAAATAAAAAAACACTATCGCAGGAACAGAGTGTCTTATACCATGAAACAACAGCATAGGGAAGGAAAAAGTAACAAGAATGCTGACACAGGGAAGCACAGTAAAGTTCAGGAATGAGAGACCCCACCTTCACCAGGGAAACAGCAGCAAAAAGTGACAAGATAGCCTTCTACAGAGCATACACACACACACACACACACACCTGCTCTAGCGCATTAGAAAGAAATGTGCTCTGCCAGGACTCGTCTCACTATGCAAAGGTTAAGTTGGAAAAGCACACAGATGGCAGCATCCAAAACATTTTCCTTGTTTGGTCTCGAGGGCAGAAACCTCAGGACAGAAATGTGGGTGCTGGCCAGGAGTGCCTCTCTCACACCCTCCCAGTGGCAGCTAGGTTGATGCTCAAATGAGGGAACACTGCAACCTGTGGTCCCAAGTGGAAACCACACTCTTTTTCATGGGCAGTAGCCCTGATACCTTTAGCCATGGGCCAGAAAGAGGGTAAGTGAACTGTGGCCTCACAGGAAACCTTGGATCCTCCCAGCATGGTGAGAAGCCTGAGAAACGAGATGGAGGACAAAAGAGGAGCTGATTTTAGCAGTTTCATGTCCATTAGGTAGGATAAGGAACATCTGCTGTATGACAGAGGTGGTGACACCCTGGGAGTGTCCTCTGAACCAAGGGGGTTGGGGTTCATTTTCAAAGAAACACTTGCCCAAGATCCTGCAGCCTCTCACCCCATCTTCTCTTGCCTTTTCTTTCTCTCTCAAGCCTCGGAAATTCAGAGCTGCTCCCCGTCAGGCCTGTGATACTCCTGAGGGCACTTGTTTTTAAAGAAAAGTAAATGAAACCCACATCAAATGAAAACCACAGCTGCCCTCATTGTGGGGAGGTGGGGGGACTGTTTTCCTGTAGAGCAAGCTAGATGGCAAGGTCACCTTCCATCTGTCACCACCAGTCAGCTCTTACAGACCTCTGGACACTGGTGGTAGTTCTGGGAGGAGCGGCTGGGATGACACATTTCAGCAGAAGGGGCAGCACAGGTCCACAGGCAGCAAACCCACAATACACCTGTGGAGACCCCTGTAGGGCCTACAAATCTGGAAGCGCCCCCTGGTCTTCGCCTGGTGTGGGTGTCTCAGAGGATGCCCCCCCTCAATTCACACCTGCACCAGCCACAGGGTCTCTGCCGCCATCTCCAGTGTGAATAACTGCAGCTGGACCCCATCTTAAACGGTCAGGAAAGAAGGTTTCACTTCAGGCTCCTGGTCCAAAACCCAGCAGCTGCAGTTATACTCATATAAATGTAGCTTCAACATCTTCATGGACCCGTCTACACTGCCTCAAGAGCCTCCATCCCGTGAGCAGCAGCAGCTGGATCCTGAAGGCTCAGTGAGTCTGTCTCCTACGGTGCCAGCACCTGGGCCCCACATGCAGTCCCCAGGGACCCTGGCCAACCTGGCCACACCTTGGTCTCTAGCACCACAGACCCCTCGAGGCTCACCCAGACACCTGACGAAGTCACAGCCGAGACCTGCAAGGCCTGTCAGTGCTTGTCACGGCTGAGGCCGTGAGACCCCTGGCTGCCTGGACACAGCTGACCACTTAGCCTCTGGGGCTCACCTCCCCTCCACTGAGACCCACGGTCGGCCCAGGGGACCCAATGCAGTTCCTTCGCACCCTCCCAGGGCAGGCAAGACCGCCCCTCAGCACCTCTGCCACGTCTTGGTGGCCACGTCTTGCCGAGGAGACCTGAAGGCACCCTGCACGGCAGTCTCGTCCACACGGGGTCCCCATCCACCCTGTCCACTGGGCATGGTGGCTCGTGCCTACCCACCTTTCCCAGCACTGCTGAACTCCACTCACTTAGTTCACAGAAGAAAAACCAAGGAAGCAGAAAAGACATAACTTACTCACTGTCACACGGAAACTGGTAGGATGCAGGTAAAATCCTGATGAAGTTCTGAGTCACAGCTGGACCCACTTACTTAGCATAATCAGAAAACTAACTTCAAGAGCCGCCCTGCACATTGCCTTTATGTGGCCCGTCACCCCCGGACTTAGGATTTCTGGATGGACTGTAAGTCACAGGCGGTAGCGGTGTTATAACAACAAAACTGACTGTATCAATGATGATCAAGTCCTCATCAGGTCTTGGAAGAGGTGGGAATGGAAGTTTTACACATATATGCCACATAAAAGGTTATGGTGTGTTCATAAATATCGAACATTACTTATATACCAAATTTCAGGTTCAGAAGACCCCCTTCTGAGGACAGTGAAAAAGCTGGCTTAAAACTCAGCATTCAAAAAACAAAGATCACAGCATCCGGTCCCATCACTTCATGGCAAATAGAAGGGGAAAATATGGAAGCAGTGTCTAGATTTTATTTTCTTGGGCTTCAAAATCACTGCAGATGGTGACTGCAGCCATGAAATTAAAAAACACTTCCTCCTTGCTATGTGTTTTTTAAAGAAGAAAAGCTATGACAAACCTAGACAGCATATTAAAAAGCAGAGACGTTACTCTGCCAACAAAGTCTGTATAGTCAAAGCTATGGTTTTTCCAGTGGTCATGTATGGATATGACAGTACCATAAAGAAGACTGAACGCTGAAGAACTGGTGCTTTTGAACTGTGGTTTTGGAGAAGACTCTTGAGAGTCCCTTGGACTGCAAGAGATCAAACCAATCAATCCTAAAGGAAATCAACTCTGAATATTCACTGGAAGGACTGATGCTGAAACTGAAGCTCCAATACTTTGGCCACCTGATGTGAAGAACTGACTCACTGGAGAAGATCCTGATGCTGGGAAACAGTGAAGGCAGGAGAAGGGGACGACAAAGGATGAGATGGTTGAATGGCATCACCAACTCAATGGACATGAGTTTGAGCAAGCTCCAGGAGATGGTGAAGGACAGGGAAGCCTGGCATGCTGCAGTCCATGGGGATCACAAAGAGTCGGACACGACTGAGTGACTGAACAACAACAAAACTCATACCAACTGTTTCAGTTCATGAATAAAAACCAGGGGCTTTAGGTCAGAGCATCAAGATCCAGAACAAGGTGGGGTTTGTGATGATGACAAATGAGGTCGAGCATGAAGGGACTCCCCTCCAACTCTGGCTTCACGTTCACGTGAGTGTGTGACACACGTGAGCCCAGATCAGCGGACATGGCTGTCACCTCCCCATAGTGACACTCTGACAAAACATGGAGCCTGGGCCAAGTCAACAGGACCTACAGGACTGACCATCCCTCATGGCCCCCTCACAACATGGCTTAGCAACCCCACCTCTTCGGAGATCCCTGTCCCGCCTGTCTGCGAACTGGCTCCACTGCACCTGGCCATACCTGCAGGCTCAGCTCACTCTCTCTGTGCTGGCAGCGGGCATCCTAACAGACATGCCACAGGCAGACCCCCAGGCACCCCACTCCAGAGGCAGAAGCCATGCCTCAGATGTTCTCTCACCATGTGGCATCTCCAGGGCAAACCCACAGGCGGACTTGATCTGAACCACAGTTTACAGGCCGAAGGCTCCAAACCTTGATCACGTGCAGTCTGCAGCTGCCTCACCACTGGCCTGTCACCTCCAGCCCGCTCCCGAGGGCTGTTGGGGTCACCTTTCTAAAATGGGACCTGACTGTGTCACTTGTGCACTTGACAGCTCTCAGAGCTTCCCCGGGACCCCAGGACAAAACCCAGGGAGCTCAGAGGTGTCCACCAGACTCACCATGACCTGGACTGTTCTGGGCCCCTGCCTCAGACAAGCATCCGGATAGCAGCCTATGAGCCCACTCTCCAGCCTCTGCCCACGCCCCCCTGTCCAGGCCACCTCAACACGCACACCTGCTCCCCTCTCAGCTGGGCAGCTCCATGCCCTTGCCCCCTTCACCCCATTTCCACAGGCCCCTCAAGGTCCTGCCTCTCAACCTGAGCCAAGGGCCATCAGGCAGTGGGGACAACGAGCCCATGACCTTTAGGCAGGGAGTTGGACCCAAAGCTACAGGGAACCCCCTGGAACATGAGTGGGCAGCACCAGGAGGGTGCGGTGAAGGACAACAGGTGAGAGGCTGCACAGGGTGCCAGATGCAACTCCACCACATACTCAGCTTCCAAGAGGAAAGTGTAGAAGTGGGAGCTCGAGTCTGGAACACTCTAGTAGCATTAACACCCACAGCGGTCAGCTGATGTAGGTGCATCTCAGCTCTTCTTTCCACCCTGGAGGGCAGCAGGATTTCAGGCGACCACAAGCGAACATCCATAAAACACTGCCATAAGCCGTCCCATCCTCCATCCCTGACTGGTGCCCCCACATAAGAAGACCATGCAGCCCGAGGAGGCCACCCTACCTGCGTCCAGCCCACCTACGGCTCCCGCTCTGAGGACACGTCCCCCTCGGCCCCGCTGCTGGCGCTGCGGTCTTCCTTGCGGGGAGCGCTTCTCTCCTTGCTTGACTCGGAAGGACCTTTGGCTCTGGTTTTTTCTTTCCTCTGCTGCTGCTTTTCAAGCTTTGACAGCTGGTTATAAAAAAAAGAAAGAAAGAAAGAATTATTTTACAAGTGTAAACTCATGCCTGTATGTTCAAAACACCAATGACCTCACAGGCAGCGACCACGGACAACGATTTTTGTCTGATAATGTGGGGTATCGCATTGGCTCTGACACGCCAGATCCCATACCCAGTGTCCATCCATCCGACACCAGATGCATCAGACGTGTGATCTCTGTCAGACCCTCCCCACAGCTCAGACTGTCCCGGGGTGTGTGGGAAGGGTCCACTCATAGGCTGCTCTGACAGGCTGAGCAGAAAAGCCTTTTAGTCTAGTTTATAGTTTAGCTATTTTTTTCTTTCATGGCTCTGTAGCTTTTTCTCACAGCCAGGTTGTCTTCCTGTTCACTGTTTTCTAAAGAGTGATAAGCTCTTCAGATAAGCTCACTCCCGTATTTGCTGAAGGTAAGAGAAGCTGTGACACAAACCACAGTAGACATCCCCTTGGCTCTCAGTTTGTCCTGAGACTCATCCGTGGTCTAGGCCCTGGTGTTCACAGTGGGCTGCATGGCGGCTATCTGGAGATGCTGCCACGGGGCCCTTGCACATGTCCCCCAGGCCACCTGAGGCCACCTGAGGCCACTTCTGCCCTTCTGGGTGCCTCCCCAGCTGGTTCAGAGACCACAACCAGACGGTGGGAAGACAGATCCGCTGAAACTCTTGAGCAATGCCCAGCACTTAAGAAAGGCGTGCTGAGAAACTCATCTGAGGAGATGGACCAAGCTGTGGCCAGAGGATTTTCTTGGACCAGAAGAGCCATCTGTGACAAAGCCTGACAGACGGCAACACCCAGGTTCATGGGCCTCCCAGGCCAAGCCTGCAAACATTTTCCTGTTCACGTGGAAAAGGGGGAACCTGAAGAGCTGGCTGCTCCCCACTGGTCTCTGCCCCAAGCCCAGAGACATGAAGAAAAGTCACTGTAAGCAACTGCCAGATCCATGCTTTTCTATTCTTAGACTCTGAGCTAAACCTTTAGACAGATCAACAATCAGAAGCTTTCAATTTGGTCCAGAAAACCAAATTTATTACTGGCTGACTTTCTCCCCCTACTCCCACTCCAGGTGCCTGAACAACTGCACTAAACAGCTGTGTTGGTCAAGCAGGGAATTCAATTTTGTGAACAAAGGCTTCTCTTCCCCTTTGACCTGGTGACTCTCTTCCCAGAAAGCTCCCTGGGATAAACTCCCTCTCGCGTGTGCAGGAAAGGCTCCCTGGCATGTGCACTGTGTATTAATATATTAGCAAGAACCTAGAAACAACCCAGATGTCCACCGATAGGAGGATAGATCACCAGAATGTGGCACAGTCACACAGAGTGATCCTCTAGAGCAGATGGACACGGATCAACATGGATAAGTCTTTAAACCCAGTTTATAGTCAATACAAACCAATGTCAGTTTCAGAAGCCTTAATGGCAGGATTTCATTTTCGCGAAACACTACGTGTTGCTAACAGGCAGATGTAAGAAGGGCTTGGAGAGTACAAACCAAAGTCAGTTCACTAGCTAACTTCAGGTAGAAAGAGTAGAGCATGGTATCACAGTAGAATGAATACATATGGGCTCCGACTGTAACTGTTGGCTTAACTTCTCTAAAAACAAAACCAGCTCTAGAACAGGGCTGCTGACCACTGCCAGACGTGAATGCTTGCTACTAGAACTCAGACCAGAGATGATAAGATTCGTGCCAGGACATAAATGAACACATAGCTTCCTTTGTCAGCAAAGTCTGACTGTGAAGAAATACCACTGCTGAACTGTGTGCTTAGAAGCCATCCTGAGCTCCTCCAGCCTGAGCTCTATGACCTGCCGTGGCCTGGTAACAAACAGCTCACAGACAGATGCTGTGAGCAGGATGGTTTTAGGCAGAGAAGACACAAAGTAAGTTTTTTTTTTTAATTAAGATATAATTGGCAGACAACATATTAGTTTTAGGTGTAATGGCAAAATAAGAAGGACAGCATTTTACACATCTGAGTAGAGGCTACACAGAGCTCCTTGCCCTCTGTCTCTCTGCACTATTATGTTTCCATAAATGATTATTTTTTTCTCTGTGCTTTTCTATCACAGATGTGGGAGGAACATCCTTCATCAAGATGCCAGTTGGGCTTTCCCCAGAGGCTCAATGTGTAAAGAATCTGCCTGCCAATGAAGGAGACATGGGTTTGATCCCTGGGTCAGGAAAATCCCCTGGAGAAGGAAAAGGCAATCCATTCCAGTGTTCTTGCCTGGAAAATTCCATGGACAGAGGGAGCCTGGGTGGGCTACAGTCCAGAGGGTCAGAAAAAGTCAAACACAACTGAGTGACTAGGCGTGTGCACACACGCATACACACACAAGATGCCACCCGTCCTTCCTTGTTTCCCTTTTGGCGCTCTTTCCTCTACGAAATGATTAGGCCAGGAAATGGGGCCCATCTGTCTTGCTCTTTTTCTTGTAAAATGATCTTGGATGTACAACATGAACGTATATAACCATACTGAACTATACATTTTAAAATGGGCAGGATGTTAAATTTTATGTTGCATGTATCTTACAACTAAAATAATTTTTACTGAGACATAATTGACATATAACATTATATCAGTTTCAGGTGTACAACGGGATTCTGTACTTGTATTTAGTGCAAAAAGACCATCACAGTAAGTCTAGTTACCATCCACCACCAAAAAAATGTTTAACGACCTTAGAAAACATGATGTTGGCAATCCATACGGGACCCCCTTCCTATTTTTCATGTCCTTAGGTTATGGAATCCAAACATCTAGAAATCAACATTCGGCAGTGAACTATGATAAGCTGCTGTCAGCACTTTATATTCACATCAGTGTCTGTATGCATGCTGATATATGTGTGTTCTACATGTACATGTCTGCAGGCAGATGGATACTTATACATACCTATATAACCGTAAATATGTTCCAAGCTAGCCTCTGAGAAAGCATGATTTTTATTCCCCAAAGAGGACCTCTTGGTTTTGGTTCCCCTCTTTAGAGGTAAATACAGAACAATGTGGCCATCTCCAGTGACACAAGCAGACCAAGGCTCTGAGATGCTGAGAGTCCATTACACACAAAGGCTTGTTTGTGATCCTGTTATCTGCCTCCCACTCTTTAACACTGCAGAGAAACCAGATCCTGGCCAGATGACAGGGAACAATTCCCAGTAAAAGCAGGATTCCTAAGGGTCCTCAGGTCCCCACACTGCCCATCCAATTCTGCACTGACCCGGGGGTGCCATCGACGCCAACCAAAACTGCAGGAGCATCCGCGTGACCTTCCACCCCAGCCCTGTGCCCAATGCCCTGGACCAAGCTTGTGGATCACGTGTGACAATTACTGCAGCAACAGGCACAGCCCGACTTTCTGTAAAGGATGTGATGCTGACTCTTTGATTATTTATCTTAAAACAACCCCGACCACACTTGGCTCCATGCCTCAGAGTAAAAGTTCTCTGCGAGAACATTGTGAACTAACCTAATAAATTTAAGCCTTTTCTTGGAAAAACTTGGAATTCAATGCAGCCAGAATGTGGAATTTACATCTCAAGGCAAGAAAGTGGTGGGTTTTTTTTTTTTTTTAGGAAACAAATGAGAAAGAAAAAGAAGAAAAGGGGAGCTACATACAGACTCCTGTAGCACGTCGTGGCTTTCAAGTTAATGAGGACACAAACGTCAAGGAAAACATAAACCACGACAGGCCTGTGGGGACACAACCTACAACACCCGCGATGGAGGACTTTTGCTTTTCCTTTTTTCATTTTTAAAGATTTTTTATTTTATTTTTGGCTGCGCTGGATCTTCATTTCTGTTGTGGGCTTTCTCTGGTTGAGGTGAGGGGGGCGACTCTTGGCTGTGTGCAGCTGCTTCTCTTGCTGCAGAGCACACGCTCCAGGCACGCACGCTTCAGCAGTTGCAGCTCACAGCCTCAGTAGTTGCGGTGCATTGGCTTAGTTGCCCCATGGCATGTGGGATCTTCTCAAACCAGGGATGAAACCTGTGTCCCTTGCATTGGCAGGTGGATTCTTAACCACTGGACCACCAGGGAAGCCCTGTTTGCTTGTTGTTGTTTTCTAAATCATCTGAAAGGGTCCATTTTGCAAAGCAGGCAGTCTGCAAACCATACAGGCTCTAGTGTCTCAAAGTGAAACCCAAACCTTCCAAGGGCAGTTCCAGGCCAAGGAACCCCCAGGGGCCAGGTAACCGTCCCGAGGTCAGCCCATTCCTCTCACGCTACATCTCTGAAGGTGGCGGGGGTGGTGGGGCGTTGGGGCGGTGGTGGCAAAGAACAGAGGATTGGACTATCTAGACCCAAACCTCCCTGACTCACACTTAAATCCACTGAGAAAAGAAAGAGCTTTCTTTTTAATCAAGATGATCATGCTCTAAGTGCCTAATGTACAAATAAGCTGGTTGAACACAAAGGTCACAGTGCTCCATCACAGGACCCGTAAACGTGATCATGACCCGAGGCACCAGGCAAGAGAATGAGTGAAGTGACCACATATGAGACAGCAGGGCAGGGTGGGGACTGCAGCCACACCACAGAGGACAAGCTCCCTAAGCTCTACCAGGGCAGTCACATTATGTTTTCAAGCATGCATCTGGTAAAGGTAAAGTCACTGGGGTAGATGTAGCCCCCTGGTAGGCTCCTGGCTTTGTACCTCTGCCCGACTGATCCCGACTGCTCTGAACAGCCCACTAACAGCTGTGTCCTTATCCGCATCCCCCGGAGAAACCACACTGGTGGCCTGAGCTACAGTCACCATCCAGTCCCTCCTCTTCCCTCTACTCAGAAGTGGCCCTGAGCCTGCTGTCATACAGGCCTGAGCCACAGTCACGAGGACCTAAGCGAGCTCCAGACGGCTTCAGAGGACCATTTTGCTTTCAAATAAACACAAGTGCATGAGACTTCTCAGAATGCAGGCAGTTCTCAGAATGAGGAGGGGGCATCTGGGGGATACAGAAGCCC